ATGTTAGAGTGATGGGGGGCTCTATCATGGTCTAATAACATGTTAGAATGATGGGGGAGCTCTATCATGGTCTAATAACATATTAGAGAGATGGGAGGGTCTATCATGCTCTAATAACATGTTAGAATGATGGGGGGCTCTGTAATGGTCTAATAACATGTTAGAGCAATGTGGTGGGCTCTCTTTTATGGTCTACTAACATGTTAGAGTGATGGGGAGTGCTCTATTATGGTCTAATAACATGTTAGTGCAATGTGGTGGGTTGTGGTATGTTAGTGTGTGAATGGAGGGGCAGTGGGAAGGTTTATTATTGTCACATGCACCTCGGTACAGTGTAAAGTTTTGTTCTGCATGCAGTCCAGGCAGATCGTACCGTACAAAGTGCATTGGGGTCACAGAACAGAGCACGGAATACAATGTCACAGCCGCAGAGCAGGCGCACAGAGAGCGATTTGAAATTTGAGAGCTCCGTTCAGAATTCTAATCACAGTGGGGGGAAGAGGCTGCTGTTGAACCTGCTGCATCTAACCTTTTGTGTCTTCTCGCTGTCAGAAGAGACAGGAAGAGATTATAACTGGGATGGGAGGGCTTTCTGATGATGTTGGTTGCTTTCCAGAGGCAGCAGGAAGTATAGATGGAGTCAGTGGATGGATGGTTGGCTTGCGCGATGGACTGGCCTGTGCTCACAACTCTCTGTCCTGGGCAGAGCAGTTGCCATACCAAGCTGTGGTGTATCTGGATTGTAACCTTTCTATGGTGCGTCTATGAAAGTTAGTAAGAATCTTTACAGACATGGCGAATTTCCTTAGCTTCCTGAGGAAGTAGAAGCATTGATGTGCTTTCCTGACTGTCACATCGACCTGAGTGGACCAAGACAGATTGTTGGTGACCGTCTCTCCTAGGAACTTGCCGCTGTCAATCATCTCCACCTCAGCTCCAGTGATGTAGCTAAGACTGAGACGAGGAGGAATTTCTTCTCTCCTTGCCTACAGAGAGCTGTGGGGGCAGATCCCTCCTGTCCGTTTAAGGCCAAGGTAGATAGGTGGGTTCTCGATCATTTGGCCGGGGGCTGGGTGGGGGGGATGAGGAGGAGGAGGTTGAGGGTCACGGTGTGTAGGGTGGGTGGGGGGTAGAGGGGTGGGAAGTGGACATGAGGTTGGATCACTCCGCCCCAAAATTGTAGCTGCTGCTATCTGGGGAAATGTTGCAGCTGTGCTTGGGCACAGCAAGATCCCGTGCACAACCCATCAGCAAGCATGGCCAGGTAGTCCATCCTGTTAGTTTACAGTAGGTGTTGGTTGGAGGGTGGGGCGGGGTTTAGGGTCGTCCAGGCTGGGGTAAGGGAGATAGATATTATGACATTACCTCTGGGCAGGTGGGGCTTAAAACCAGGCCTCCTGCCCCCAAAAAGAGGACACTACCACCGTGCACAGGAGACTCGGGGTGGGGCAGATAATCCCTCCCCATCCACACGTACCCTCGGCTCTCTGTGTCACTCTGCTCTTTATGATCTGACTGTGAGCATCTTTAATATAACTGCCAGAGAAATGGCACAACACCCCTGTTCTTGGTTACAATGCCATGAGGATGGTCAATATACCCGCTAGGAATGATAACCCTTTCTAACATCCTCTGCCGGCTGCCACCTCCTTCTGTATGTGGGAGAGTCTTCAAGTTCTAAATTGGGATTTGAACCCACAACCTTCATCCACAAAGGCTCGGCTGTTACTAACCATGCCACAGCCCAGAAACACCATAACTACTTGAGGGATAAAAATATTCAAGGCCTGGAGAAAGAGCCCAATTGTGCAAGGAACTCAAAATTAGATGATTCACTGTCGAGGGGAGCCGCAATGTCGGAAGTGCTGGCTTTGTGACTGGATGACAAACAAAGGCACTGTCAGGTGACATAAAAGATCTCACAGCGACAAACTTCAGAAAGTACTAATCCCTCCATCAGAGTCACTAAAAGACATGATCTGATCATTGTTAGATTATCCAAATGGGAGCATTGCCCTGCCGAGTTGCCTGTCATAACACAGTGACTATACTTCAGTGAGAAATTCTTTAGATTGAAAATGAATAGGGATATCCTCAGGTCAGGAAATATGTCTTTTCTTTAAACTTGGATGGCACAGTGGCTCAGTGGTTGGCACTGCAGTCTCACAACACCAGGGACCCGGGTTTGATTCCAGCCTCAGGCAACTGTCTGTGTGGGGTTTGCACGTTCTCCCCGTGTCTGTGCAGGTTCCCTCCGGGTGCTCTGGTTCCCTCCCACAGCCCAAGGATGTGCTGGTTAGGGTGGATTGGCCGTGCTAAATTGTCCCATAGTGTCCAGGGATGTGCAGGCTAGGTGGGCTAGCCATGGGAAATGCAGGGTTACAGAGATAGGGGTGGGTCTGGCTAGCATGTTCTTTGGAGGGTCAGTGTGGACACGATGGGCTAAATGGCCTGCTTCCACACTGTAGGGATTTTGAAATCCAGTCTGACTTCTGTTGCATCTGGATTTTTCCCAGGTTGAAGGCAATGATTCTCCGACCCAGCCTCAGTGCAGAATTGTCATCAACAGCCTGCCCAGCACACAGGAAGTTTTTAAAGACCCCACCCTGTAACATATTCTCAGCCTGAAGGTGAGTACCTGCGTTACCCACCCAGGGTACAGCAAAGGTTAGAACGATCAGTGCTGAGAAACAGCCAGCAAGTCCTGCCTTTATATAGCACCTTCACAACAGAGGCGTTACTCTGAATCTAACCCATATCTGTATCTGACCTGGAAATGTTTGATGGGGATAGGGTGATGGAGGCTTTGTTTTCCGTTTGCTTCCAGTTTAAAAGAGAAGAGGGAGCTTTATTCTGTCAGTAGCCCTGTGCTTTCCCTGCCCTGGAAGTGTTTGATGGGGACAGCATGAAGGGAGCTTACTTTCAGCTTATTTTTTTGTTTAAACGAGTAGAGGGAGTTTTACTCTGTGTAACTCGGGCAGTACTTGTGAATGTTTGATAGGGACCATGTCAGGTTAGGTTTACTTCCAGTTTAAAAGAGTAGAGGGAGCTTTATTCTTTATCTAACCCTGTGCTGTCCCTGTCCTGGGAGTGTTTGATGGGGACGGTGTAGAGAGAGCTTTACTTTCAGTTTAAATATTACCTTCAGATTGAAAGAGTCAGAGGGAGGTTTGTTCTGACTGTCTGTCAGTCAGTCTGACTGTATATAGTACATGCCGTCGTCACAGCCCAGTGAGTTTGTGTGAATTGCTGTCCTTCTAAAGGCATTTGGGGAATGTGTGGTGTCCACAAGTGATGGATATTGAAAAGCTGGTGCACATCGCTGAAACCCTGGAGAAGATTGTGTTGAGATGCTTTGGGCCAGATGGTGGTCAGGTGCTGTTTGTCCGAGACACCGGAGATATCCACATCACCAAGGATGGATGCAGAATATTGGAGTCGCTGCTCCTGGACCACCCGGCTGCCAGGTCAGTTAAAACCACAAGTTGATAGGAAATGGGAGCAGCAGTAGGCATTCAGCCCTTTGACCCTGCTCTACCATTCGATAGGATCATGGCTGATCCGACATTCCTCGCATCCACTTTCCTGCCCTTTCCCCATAAGCTTCGGTTCCCCGACTGATCAAGAATCTATCTATCTCAGCCTTGAATATACAAAAGGGCCCCACAGCTTTCTGTGGCAAGGAGTCCCAAAGACTCTCAACCCTCTGAGAGAAGAAATTCCTCCTCATCTCAGTCTTAAATTGGTGCCCCTTTATTCTGAGACTATGCCCTTTGGTCCGAGACTCTCCCGTGGGGGGAAACATCCTCTCAGCATTTACCCTTGTCAAGCTCGTTAAGAATCCAATATGTTTCAATGAGATCACCTCTCATTCTTCTAAACACCAGTGAGTAGAGTCCCAACCTGCTTAGCCTTTGCTCGCAATACAATCCCTCCATACCAAGGACCATCCTCGTGAACCTTCTCTGTACTGCCTCCAATGAGATAACGTCTTTTCTTAGACACGGGGGCCAAAACTGCGCTCAGTACTCCAGATGTGGTCTCAGTGTACCTGACTCATTCCTGAGATAACGTGCCTGCTTTCTGAGGAAAGCTGAGTACGTTGGACCTGTAGCCGTTGGAGTTTAGAAGACCAAGACAGGATCTTATTGAAAGATGTAAAATCATGAAAGGACTGGACAGGGTGGATACCAGGAGGATGGGTCATCTTGTGGTGAGATTAATACTCCTGGGCATTGTTTAAGAATGAGAGCTCACCATGAGGGATGAGAATTTTTTTTTTCAGGACATTGTTAGTCTGTGGAATTCTTTTCCTCAGAAAACAGTGGAGGCAGGATTATTGAAAATATTCAAGGCTGAGTTAGGTGCCTGATAGACAGAAGACATAAGTGTTATCAAACATGATCTTTTTGAATGATGGAGCAAGCATGAAGGGTCAGGTGGCCTGCTCCTGTTCCTAACAGCACTGCCATGTTTCTAAACTGATAGCTATTTGCAGAGGGCATGTTTACAGGACAGAGGGTCATCACAGGATGGGGTGGGATTACAGGCTGGGAGTGATCGGAGGACGGGGAGCGATCGGGGACGGGGAGCGATTGGGGGACAGGAAGCAATTGGGGCATGGGAAGTGATCGGGGGACGGGGAGCGATCGGGGGACGGGGAGCAATTGGGGCACGGGAAACGATCGGGCGACGGGGAGCGATCGGGGGACGGGGAGCGATTACGGGACAAGGAGCGATTATAGGACGGGGAGCGATGGGGGAACGGGGAGCGATGGGGGGAATAGGGAGCAATTACGGGACAGGAGCAATGGGGGGAGTGGGGAGTGATGTGGGGAATGGAGAGCGATGTGGAGAATGGAGAGCGATGTGGGGAATGGAGAGCGATGGGAAGGATGGGGA